TTCAAATTTGTTTTCTTTCCCAGTAAAAACATTCCTTCTAATATCACTCATTTTCTGGGTGTTACTGTAATGGAGCAGAGGTGGGTTGGGGGCGGGCTGCCCACCGTCTCCCCTTAACTAGGAGGGGAGGTGGGTTGGGGGTGGGCTGCCCACCGTCTCCCCTTAACTAGGAGGGGAGGTGGGTTGGGTTGGGCTGCCCACCGTCTCCCCTTAACTAGGAGGGGAGGTGGGTTGGGCTGCCCACCGTCTCCCCTTAACTAGGAGGGGAGGTGGGTTGGGGTGGGCTGCCCACCGTCTCCCCTTAACTAGGAGGGGAGGGGAGGTGGGTTGGGGTGGGCTGCCCACCGTCTCCCCTTAACCATAACGATTAAATAAGGCAATTTCTCCCACATAACTAGGCCAGACGAGGGGTCCATAATGCAATATAAAACTTTTACCTCGGCTTCGCCTACTGGGCAAGCCCGCGGTGGTGGTCGACCTGCGCTGGGGGGGGGGAGGGGGGGAGGCGAGGAAGAGAGGGGAGAGAGGCAGCAGGAGGCGAGGAAGAGAGGGGAGAGAGGCAGCAGGAGGCGAGGAACGATAGAGAAAGAGGCGGCGGCGAGGAAGCAGGAGGCTCCCTTCCTCCTGTAGAAAGCAGCGAGGAAGGGAGTAGAGGGCGAGGAAGAGATAGAGGCTGTGTCAGAGGGTACAGAAGAGCTGGGTGATGAGGGGGGTATTATAACGAGGCCATTTGACCCGAACAAGGCAATTCGTCTGTGGCAAGGTGACGTTGGTACGAGAAAAGTACCTGGTTACCTCTAACACGAATACCCGGTGATGTAGTGCCCTGTACCCCTTGCTGGGCTTGTCCACCTCCTCAAACACTCCCGTACTCCTTAATCATCTTAAACACGGATACTCAATAGCCCCTATTCTCATTTCAGTATACTCTCGAATATACTCATTTATGAGTATTCATTTATGAGTATATTCAGCACAATTACGAGTACGAGTTTGGTATAATTTACTTCCGTGTATGGTACCTGTTGTTGGTTCTGGGGATCAACGTGCCCGCGGCCCGGTCTCCAAAAAGGCTTCCTGGTTTGTGGTCCGGTCGACCAGGTTGTCGGTCGCAGCTGCTCGCAGCCTGACGTGGGAATCTTTATAGTCTCCGTGGTGTAGTGGTAAGACACTCGCCTGGCGTTCCGCGAGCGCTTTGTCATGGGTTCGTATCCTGGCCGGGGAGGATTTACTGGCCGCAAATAGTGTTTATCAAGTACTGTTCAAGCAGACGCTGGGTGCCCCAAGAGCCTCCCTCAAGCAAGACAACCGGAACTCTTACTTGTTGTGGAAGAGTCAGCCAAACTGGGAACAAAAGTTCCAAGCAGCACCGGCTATGGTGAGCCCGTAAGTGAACTTGTATCCCGGTTTAAGACTCGCCCGTGAAGCCTTCACGCACCGACTTTCTTCCATCGAAACTAAAGCTCTCTTGATGAAACCAATTATGTTGGCTCCCTTACCTAAGACCACCACCAGCCTCCGTCACTATTTCTTTCATTTTCAACAACTTTATATTCTCAAATATATATTTGTTAAAATCAATCGACATTACCCCATCTTCAGTTCGACAGACTAATTTATACAAATAAGCCTTTATTGGTGTAATTTAGAGAGATCAGAAACACAGCTGGTCTCTAGACTGATGCTCCACCTGTAGCCTCGTACCAGCATGACAAGTCGTATACGGGACACGTCATAGGGATACATAGACACGTATAGGGACACGTCATAGGGATACATAGACACGTATAGGGACACGTCATAGGGATACATAGGCACGTATAGGGACACGTCATAGGGATACATAGACACGTATAGGGACACGTCATAGGGATACATAGGCACGTATAGGGACACGTCATAGGGATACATAGGCACGTATAGGGACACGTCATAGGGATACATAGACACGTATAGGGACACGTCATAGGGATACATAGGCACGTATAGGGACACGTCATAGGGATACATAGGCACGTATAGGGACACGTCATAGGGATACATAGACACGTATAGGGACACGTCATAGGGATACATAGGCACGTATAGGGACACGTCATAGGGATACATAGACACGTATAGGGATACATAGACACGTATAGGGACACGTCAACCAGCATGACGTGTCCTTATAGACCTACACGTTGTGTAGAGAAAAAAATAGCAACTAAAGACAAGACCGTCTATATAAACATTTCATTTTGTGTAGACTTCACTGAGGACGGCCCTCAAGTGTTGTACGAGAACCCATAACGTTAGGAACGAGAAGATGAGGCAAGGAAAGATGGAAGAACTTAGCAAGGACAACATTTAAAAAAAATACTTTCTGAACATTGTAATTGTTAACTCTGAATCTCAAAACAATTAGTAGGGGGGTCTTAAGCCCCCCTTCCACACCCCAAAAAATGCACCACAAATCAAGATAAGTACAGAGCATATTGTTCATTACTTCAAGAACTTGTAGGAGTAAACCCCGTGTTATGATCTCGGCTGTATCTTGCCCATATTAGACCCCGACAGTCTAATATTAGACTGGATGCATTTCCGACGGTTCCTTTCATATAAAAGGGGTGACGCCGAGGAAAATCAAGACTCGCGTCCCTACCAAAACAAAAAAATCAAAAGTACATAAGATGCAAGATACTGGAAGCGTCAAGGGAAGAATGGTCAAAATTAATCCCGGGCATAAGAAAACTCAGAAATATAGGAGGATGAAACTGTTGAGAAGATAAGGACACGAGCAACTGCAGGCAGCCTGGTGACCTATGCGGGGCGCAGCCAATGTCAACACGTCTGACTCACGCCAGGAAACACTACCGAGTCACCTCGCCAGGGAAGGGAAAGCGCCAAGCCATTACAACTATATAGCACTTGGAAGAGGTCAGGATAAGGATTGGGGATGGGACGGGGGGGGGGGGGAAGGAATGGTGCCCAACCACTTGGACGGTCGGGGATTGAACGCCGACCTGCATGAAGCCAGACCGTCGCTCTACCGTCCAGCCCAAGTGGTGGGACAGCCATGTAGGAAGCAACTGTGGGAATATAAGAAAAGTGAAATTGGAATTGAGAGCGAGGGGAGAGTGAAGAGAGTAGTGAGGAGAAAGGAATAATAGCAGAAGACGGGGAGGGAAAGAAGAAAAATAAAAAGGAGAGAGGAGAAAGATAATGAAAAGAGGGAAGATGCAAGAGAGGGAGAAGAAAGAGAGAGGGAGAAGAAAGCCATAACCCTTCATCAACTCTCTATCAATACGTCATGCATACAACCCCCCCTCCTCCCCCTTCCCCCTTCCCGGTCTGTCTTATTTCCCTAAAAAGTATACAAAATGAACAATATTATCTACCATAGTGAAGGAAAAACAATTGTAAGAAAAAAATCATTTTATTTCATCATTAACGAGAACGAAAGAGCAAATTTATTTCACCCGTGTCAGTATTATTTCAGGAAAAAATCTGAAATATTGTGCAAGGGGAGTTAGGACGGGGCATGGGGGGGGGGGAGGGGGATCTCCCCCATCTCCTGTACATCGATGCATGCAGCGGCAACCAACAGCCTGGTGTACCAGACCACCATCCATGAGGTGTGGTTGGTGATGACATGGGTGGTGGTGGTGGTGGTTGGGGGGTGGGGAGTGGCAGACATGGGTGTGGTGATGGTGGTGGGGGGAGTGGCAGACATGGGTGTGGTGGTGGTGGGGGGGGGGAAGTGGCAGAGTGGCAGACAATGTGACCATTCAATGATGACATGGTTGGGATGACTGTTGGCGCCCTGTACATCAGACAGGGGACACTTTATATCCGAGTCAGGGGAAGGTTTAATTCTGGTAATCAACGGAAAAATCGGCTAATAATTCAATACATTCCAATAGGCCTTGCGCAGTTTCCTGTATTATTTTGTCGTACATTTAGTGTTGTCTTGATTCCTGACGGGACTTTACGGCGGATTTTTTCGTATTTAGCATAAATCTCTTATTTGTGTAGATGAACAAATGAACTAAGGAAACAGCAGAAGGCCTAATGGCGGAAATGACGCACATTTGGAATCAGGACAGCAGTTATAATGACAAAAGGAAGACAAAACAATAAGTTTAGTATAATCAACTTTATTTATCTGTTTACAATGGTGCTCGAGTACTAGATAAGATGGAGAAACTCCTTCGGAAACATTTGTTGGTTTAGGAATGGGCTTTCAACAACTGTTTCAATAGCTGAAACAACTTTCATTCAGATGTTTCTTTTTGCAGGCGATGAGTCACAACAACGTGGCTGAAGAATGTTGACCAGACCACACACTAGAAGGTGAAGGGACGACGACGTTTCGGTCCGTCCTGGACCATTCTCAAGTCGATTGTGATGAAGTTGTTGTTATAGATTCAGGTACTCGGAACAAGTTCCAAGTAGCACGGGCTATGGTGAGCCCGTAACTTACCTGGCACAGGAGCGGGGCAAGAAGCACGGGCTATGGTGAGCCTGTGTGATGAAAAGCTTGATAACGATTAAGCCACCCAAGAGGTGGCACGGGCATGAATAGCCCGTAACGTGTGTGATGAAGTTCATACAGGCAATAAATTAAAGATTAAAGCATTTGAGTATATACTGTGAAAGGGAAGAGTCCACAGCAACAAAGCCAGGACTCAAGTTCATGTTGGGTACATTGTGTATTAGAGCCGATTCAACAAGACGGCGTCTGTGTAGAGTAGAGGCAGGAAAGATTATTTTGGAGTTAGACCAATCAATAGGATGATTAGAATCCCTCACATGACAGAAGAGAGCATTGTTAGTGTCTGCAGACTTAGCACTTCTCTAAGTCTGTCATTAAGTGTACGGCCACTTAATTTTCTTTTTTTTTTATTGATTTTTTGGTTTCTTTTTATTGATTTTTGATAGCTGGACTGACTGGCACTGGCCTGTGTTCGCTGTCATATGCATCAGTTAGGCCAGTGTTCATAACAAACCAGTTTTATTTATTCAGAATGAAATTCTTTTTTCTGTTGACAGTATCTGGCAAAGACTAACTGGCTTTCTAACTTCTTTTTGAGACTGAGAAACTCTTCCTCGCTGACAGCCAGCCTCTTGCTCTTGCATCTACGCTTTGATGTCTTGGAGAGACGCGAATTCTCCCGTTGCTGGAATACATTCAAGGGTCTCTTCATCCTGGGGCCGTCCTTAGTCGGACTAGGGAATACAGGAGGGACTGGGCCGTCATTTGACGCACTAGACGATGAAGGATGAACTAAGTCGTCCTTAGACGGACTGGATACACTATCCTTGCTGCCTTGAGCAACAGGCTCTGTCACGTGGAGCATTTCTTTGAAGGCTCTCTTTATCCCTCGGCCTATAAAGGACTTCTTGGCCCGTTCGAAGTGAGGCTTTTCAAGAGACGAGACTTCACTGGGTAGACCGGCAGAGGTAGAACAGAGGTCTTCACTAGGACGAACAACTGTAACGGGCGAAACTTGTAAGGACAAACCAACACTTGCAAGAGATGCGTCTTGGGCTGCACTGCCCACAGAGGAAGATCCGGTAGTATGCTGGTCGTTTAGATCATCATCAAGCCGTCTGTAGTGAACAAAAGTGCGTCTTTGAGGAAATAATTCAGCTGTCGACCGACGTATTCCCTTAGCCAGGTGCCTCACTGATGCCTTGGCAGTACATTTTGCGTCAGTATCCGCCCTGTTGTTGTTGTTATTCAAGACTGACGCGTCACGAAGCGTTGAAGCAGCTGTCACGGTTTCCCGGCGAGGCGACGCGGGCGAATCGTTAACGTCTGCAGGAGATACGGGTGCCTCCTGTGCCGTGGCGACAGGAGACAGGAGATGGGAGGACGAACTGGTAGAACTGGTAGTCGACGGGTCATGGCAGGAGGAGTCAGTGTCCGAACGTGTCACCTTGTCCTTGGTCACAGCTTGGAGAACACGTCTCACGCTCGACCTCCCAACAGCTTGCAGCCGCTCGAAGCCACCACTAGTGCGCCTGTCCATGGTTGGTGTGAGTTAGGTCACTAAGGTCAAACCACTGATCACTTTATCTCTTGATCAGAATATATGTAGACGGCAGGGCGTGAGGTGAGCATCTTATCCCCATGCGCGAGCAGCGCGGGGGGATTAAACTTATGGAATTGGAATGTTAACAAAAAATAAGAATTAGGAAACTGTAGAAGGCCTCTTTGCCCATACGAAACTTACTCTATCATTATATTACTATATAATTATATTATATAATGATTTAGTTTCAGGTTTGAGCAGCAATATTTGCAAATTTGCCGATGATACAAAAATCGGGAGGGAAATAAACACGGAAAGAGACTCGCTATCACTTCAAGACGATCTAAATAGGGTTTTGAAATTGTCAAAGGATTGGCAGATGCTGTTTAATGCTTACAAATGTAAGGTTTTGAGGCTAGGTAATGATGATAGAGTTACAAGATACGAGCTAGATGGTGTTGAGATTGCGAAGTCGGATTGCCAAAGGCATCTGGGAGTTATGATTAGTAAGAATTTAAAATCAAAGGATCAATGCGTGAATGTTCGTAATAAGGCAAATAGGACACTGGGATTTATTAATCGCAGCGTTAGTAACAAGACACCTGGTGTGGTTCTTTAGCTATATCTTGCTCTGGTTAGGCCCCATTTAGATTATGCAGTTCAGTTTTGGTCGCCGTACTATAGAATGGATATAAATTCACTTGAACGTGTCCAGCGTAGGATGAAGTTAATTCCCAAAATTAGAGACCTGTCATGTAAAGAAAAATTAACAAAGCTTAAATTGCATTCACTGGAAAGGAGTTTACAAGTGGATGAATGGACATAAAGTGGATATTAATAAGTATCAACACAAGACAACACGAAACAATGGGTATAAATTGGATAAGTTCAGATTTAGGAAAGACTTGGGTAAATACTGGTTCGGTAACAGGGTTGTTGATTTGTGGAACCAATTACCGAGTTCCGAGGTGGAGGTGGGGTCCCAGGATTGTTTCAAGATTGATTGATTGATAAAGATTAAGCCACCCAAGAGGTGGCACGGGCATGAATAGCCCGTAAGTGGTACAAATATTTTTTTCCCCAGTATTCTGAGGTTGCATTTAACCATCAAGCTGTTATCGCGGGGGAGGATACTGCTTCACAGTCTTTATGAGGGTGTCCAGCTGCTGGACACCTTTGTTGACCAGGAGAGTGGCTGTGTTGATGGCTTCAGGCCAATGCAAGATTCAGGAACTCTTAAAGCTCTTCTAAGGTCGTTGGTTGCTTCACATTCCAGAAGATAGTGAAGTTATGACTTCTCTGTGACAGTTTGGCAGAAGATGCACTCTCTCTGTCGGGGTTCACCAATCTCCCAGTTGCATCTGTAACCTAGACGTAGTCCATATAACCTAACTGCTATTTCCCTGTGGATTCCTTTGGGATATTTAACCTTTCTAATATGGTTGCCTGAAGATATCATGTTGCAGATGGCGAACCTTCAGCTTTTCTCTGGTGCAGGTAGGCTTTGTTGAGGTGTGAGAGTTTTTTTGGTGATGATGTTTTTAATGTTCTCTAGGCTGGGTTGAATTGTTTTATGTATCACTGGATGACGAGTTGCCAATTTAGCAATTTCATCAGCTTTTTCATTTAATGGGATTCCAACATGGGATGGGATCCAGTTTAAAGTTATGTTGAGTCCTTTGCCTTTAGCGACTGCTCCAAGATACAAAATGGTGGTAATTATTTCCACGTTATCTTTCCACTGTTTTTGTCCTAGTATTTGAAGTGCAGCTTTCGAGTCTGTGTGTATGATTGCATTTTGAGTGTTTTGTGCAATCACATACGCGAATGCCTGTTGTATGGCAAACAGCTCAGTTTGGGTTGATGATACTAGTTCTCCAATATGCCTGTACGCTGGCCGTGCAAAGAGCAGCACCAGCACTCTCATATTCTGTGTCCACCGATCCGTCTGTGAAGATGTGGGTGGCTCCTGCTACTGCTATGCTATGCTATACATTTGCTCTTCTATTATGCGCCTTAGGATTGTTGGATCATAGGCAGCCTTTTTCATTCCGAGACTTTCTATTACTATTTTGAAAGTAGGATCTTCCCACGGTGGGGAACAAGTGTAGTTTGGGTGTGGTTGGTCACCTCTACATTTAAAAAGCATGATTCTTGATAGTCTGTTTAGGACTTTTCCTGCTCTTGCAGCCCAAGAGTTTCCATTGTTTTGGCCTAGTCCAACCACCAAGGCCTGCCGTACTGGGATTGGATCAGAAGAAATAATTATCTTACTGATAATTGTAGCTGTCTTTTGTGATATTATTTCTTGTAGAGAGGGCAACCCCGTCTCCAGTCTAAGAGTTTCAAGCCTGGTCCACATGGGGGCTCCCAGTGCAGCTCTCATAGCATTGTTTTGGGCAACTAAAAGCTTTTTCCACTGTTGGTGTGATAGATTTGTGAGTGCAGGTGCGGCATAATCGATCACTGATCTGACTGCCTGTACATAGTATGTGCGAAGGACTTGCAGATTGGCTCCTCCAGAGAGGGAGGTTAGCGACCTGAGGATTGCCGTCCGGGCCGCAGTTCGCTCACTCAAGTAAGTGACCTCAGCATTAAAATTCATGTGTGTGTCCATGATGATTCCTAGATACTGATAGGTGTCGACCCATTCAATTGGTTGACCCTGTACTGTGAGATTGTTTCAAGCGAGGGTTGGACATGTATATGAGTGGGATTAGGTGGTTATAAATTTAAGCTGCCTCGTATGGGCCAATAGGCCTTCTGCAGTTACCTTTGTTCTTCTGAACATAAGAACAAAGGTAACTGCAGAATGCCTATTGGCCCATAAAAGGCAGCTCATATCTATAACCACCCAATCACTCATATTTCTCATCATTGCATAGCTAGTGACGTCACCCACCGCTGAAAAGTCAGGATGTTGTGACACTGTCACATCGTTCGTCACAGTGTTGTGACACTGTCACATCTGTGTGTTAATGAGAGGCGAAAGTAGTACTTCATTAGAACCGCTTATAACATCACGCTCCGCTAATGCAACGGATCATATAGCTATAGAAATAATTTCTGACGATGAGTCACAATAGCGTGGTTGAAATATGTTGACCAGACTACACACTAGATAAATTGGATAAGCTTAGATTTAGGAAAGACTTGGGTAAATACTGGTTCAGTAACAGGGTTATTGATTTGTGGAACCAATTGCCGCGTAACGTGGTGGAGGTGGGGTCCCTCGATTGTTTCAAGCGTTGGTAGGACATGTATATGAGTGGGATTGGGTGGATATAAATAGGAGCTGCCTCGTATGGGCCAATAGGCCTTCTGCAGTTGCCTTTGTTCTTATGTTCTTAAATCAACAACCCTGTTACTGAACCAGTATTTACCCAAGTCTTTCCTAAATCTAAACTTATAGAATTTATACCCATTGTTTCGTGTTCTGTCTTGTGTTGATATTTTTAATACCCTATTAATATCCCCTTTGTTATGTCCATTCATCCACTTGTAAAACTCTATCATGTCACCCCTAACTCTTCGCCTTTCCAGTGAATGCAACTTAAGCTTTGTTAATCTTTCTTCATATGAAAGACTTCTAATTTTGGGAATTAACTTCTTCATCCTACGCTGAACACGTTCAAGTGAATTTATATCCGTTCTATAGTACGGCGACCAAAACTGAACTGCAAAATCTAAATGGGGCCTAACCAGAGCAAGATATAGCTGAAGAACCACACCAGGTGTCTTGTTACTAACGCTGCGACTAATAAATCCCAGTGTCCTATTTGCCTTATTACGAACATTCATGCATTGATCCTTTTGTTTTAAATTCTTACTAATCATAACTCCCAGATCCCTTTCGTAATCTCAACACCATAAGAACATAAGAACATAAGAACAAAGGTAACTGCAGAAGGCCTATTGGCCCATACGAGGCAGCTCCTATTCTATAACCACCCAATCCCACTCATATACTTGTCCAACCCGTGCTTGAAACAATCGAGGGACCCCACCTCCACAATGTTACGCGGCAATTGGTTCCACAAATCAACAACCCTGTTACTGAACCAGTATTTACCCAAGTCTTTCCTAAATCTAAACTTATCCAATTTATACCCATTGTTTCGTGTTCTGTCCTGTGTTGATACTTTTAATACCCTATTAATATCCCCCCCGGTTATGTCCATTCATCCACTTGTAAACCTCTATCATGTCACCCCTAACTCTTCGCCTTTCCAGTGAATGCAACTTAAGCTTTGTTAATCTTTCTTCATATGAAAGATTTCTAATTTGGGGAATTAACTTAGTCATCCTACGCTGGACACGTTCAAGTGAATTTATATCCATTCTATAATATGGCGACCAAAACTGAACTGCATAATCTAAATGGGGCCTAACTAGAGCAAGATATAGCTTGAGAACCACACCAGGTGTCTTGTTACTAACGCTGCGATTAATAAATCCAAGTGTCCGATTTGCCTTATTACGAACATTTATGCATTGATCCTTTTGTTTTAAATTCTTACTAATCATAACTCCCAGATCCCTTTCGCAATCCGACTTCGCAATCACAACACCATCTAGCTCGTATCTTGTAACTCTATCATCATTACCTAACCTCAGAACTTTACATTTATCAGCATTAAACTGCATCTGCCAATCCTTTGACCATTTCAAAACCCTACTCATCTACTACTCATCTCTTCATCACTATCTGTTATTTGACCTGTCTCAGTTTTTAATGGACCTATCCTTTCCCTAGTCTTAGTACGATATAACTGAAAAAACCCTTTAGGATTTGTCTTTGCTTGCCCTGCTATGCGAACTTCATAGTTTCTTTTTGCTTTCCTTATCTCTTTTTTAACATTTCTAACCAGTTGTACGAATTCCTGTTCTAAAGTGACCTCCCCATTTTTAATCCTTTTGTACCAAGCTCTCTTTTTACCTATAAGGTTCTTCAAATTCTTTGTTATCCACTTTGGGTCATTAGTACATAAGAACAT